AAGCAATATTCCAAATCCTCCTCTCCTCTTTAAATCCTGGTCACAGAAGACTCCACATCACCGGACCCAATGAAGCATCATATATGGGTAAATAAAAGAAAAAGGGCCCCTCATAGTGCAATCAGGTTAATTTATTTTAAAAACTTCTTAAAAAACAAGGGTGCACTCACAAAGGTAAGGGGCGAATCTCCCTCAAACAGCATGGAACTATTGTAAACAAAGATGGCGGTGATCATCGCAAGACTGGAAATGATGTCACCCACGCTTCTGTCCTACGCGCTATGTCACGCATCACGTCACTTCATCGGGGATACTGTGCTATTGGACTTGGCTATTGCTGTTCACTTGGCAGGAGCTTTTGATGTTTCTGGAGACCCAGACTAAGGCTCTGGTCACACCTAGGCAGCTGTGACAGAGCACATAGCTTTTTTGTGCATTTCTGCACATCGTATTTTAGGCAGTCCATTTCATTTCCTACACGTGAAAAACACACTAAAGAGGTGCATTACCCTTTTGCGTTTTTGTGCATTGCAGGAAAGCATGTGATTTTGGGTGCATTCAATGCACAAATGTAAGTCTAGCCTAACAGAGACAAAAATATTATTATAGCACACCTAAAAATAAACTTAAAAAGCAATGAAACACTAAAAACTCAATGATATGTTCCTGGATTTCCTTAATTTCATTGGATGAAAACTGAATCCCCATATAAAGGAAAAAAAAATAGGAGCACATCCAATGTTTTACATTCATATGACTTTTTTAATTACCTTCTGTGTCATAGTAATAAACAGTTTATACCTTTAGAGCGTTAAGCATGCTAAGGAAAATTTATGGTGGAAAAAAATACATTTATACAGAACTCTGGGCATAATATAGGACACACATTACTGCGGCTCTGTGGTAATTAATAAAGGTATATTTTTATGTACTCTGCACCAAATGACAACACTGTATGGGAAGTGTACTAGTGAGACTTTTTTTTTTTTTTAGATAGCCTATAAAGGTTATTGCAAAGATTATGAGGTTACATTTGGGTCTTTAGGTGTGATAAGCAAGATTGAACAGAAATCTTTCTAAGGCTCTAGGAATATAGACAGCTATTACACTTTATCCTTGGTGTCAAGAAGATAGATAAATGGAATGGCCCAGTGGCTACACCTTTCCCAATTGTAGTAACAGTTTTATTATTTCATATAACATCAACAACACTTTACCAAGAACACTACGGCAGCTGTATTGGTGTCTGCCCCATAAAGGGGGCTATTATCCCTTCCATAGACAGACAGACAGACAGATGTTTAAAGTGGACCTCCCCTCTTCTTTTAGAGATTGCATAATTCCTAGGCCTCTTCCCTACCTTTTGCACAATTGGAAAGTTGCTTTTTTTTTTGGCTAGCAAGTAACAGGTGTTTGCTCCAGCTTGCTTATTCATCACCTAGGCAAGGATGACGTTTGTTGGGTTGTCCCCCAGATAGAAAGAGACACAGACCTAGGGCATTAATCCAAAATTGCAAATGTATGGAAATTATAGGAAAAACTATTCAAACTGAACTACAGCTGAACCACACCACAAGTGCTCTTTGAATGGCACTTGAAAACTGAAGTAATTCACACTGTTTCAGCGTGACTCAAAGGGTAATTCACCTTTAAAAAAAAAAATGCACGATTTGCATGTGCATTCACTTTTCATTTTTGTTAGGAGCCTATAAAGCATTGCACACACAATCAGCAGATCGTGAATACAATGTCAGGCTCCTCCTCCGAAATGGGCAAGCAGTTATTTCAGTCCAGGAAGAATCAGGGAACTATGAGGATGCTCAGCAGCACCCAGGAAGTTCATTGAGAACTACAATCCGTGAGCTGCATAGGCTTTCAGGAGTGATCAGGAGGAGAGCTGCAGGAACAGGTTGCATGTTCCACCCTAAGAACAGGTGGAACATGGACCATGTTCTCGAAGGTGAACTTATCCTTTATGATTATACTGAAGACAGAGCTGAAGACTTCAGGTTGTAGGAAGACAGCACTGGACCCCATGGGATGGTATGTACATGTTCTGTAAAAGTCACCAGGTACACTCCAAAGACATGCTGGTAGGTTAATTGGCTCCTGTCTATGTTTAGCCCTAACATGTATATGTATGTGAAATAGGGACCTTAGTCTGCAAGCTCTTTAACCCCTAGCCTGCAGGGCACTTATACCCCTTCCTGCCCAGGCCAATTTCCAGCTTTCAGCGCTGTCACACTTTGAATGACAATTGCGCAGTCATGCAACACTGTACCCATATGAAATTTTTATCATTTTTTTGAGACAGATAGGGCTTTCTTTTGGTGGTATTTAATCACCTCTGGGTTTTTTATTTTTTCTTAAACAAACCAAAAACCACTGAAAATTTTGAAAAAAAAAATAGTTTTTTCTTAGTTTTTGTTATACAATTTTGTAAATAAGTGATTTTTCTCCTTCACTGATGTGCGCTAATGAGGCTGCAGTGATGGGCACTGATAGGCTTCACTGATGGACACTGATGGGCACTGATGAGGAGGCACTGGTAGGTTGCACTGATGGGCATTGACAGGCATCACTGATGGGCACTGAAATGCAGCACTGATACATGACACTGATATATGGCACTGATAGGCAGCACTGATAGGCAGCACTGACTGGCACTGTTAGGCGGCACTGACTGGCACTGTTAGGCAGCACTGACTGGCACTGATAGGTGGCACTGACTGGCATTGTTAGGCAGCACTGTCTGGCACTGTTAGGAGGCACTGACTGGCACTGATAGGCGGCACTGACTGGCACTGATAGGCGGTACTGACTGGCACTGATATGCGGCACTTACTGGCACTGATATGCGACACTGATGCGCACTGATAGGCGACACTGACTGGCACTGATAGGTGGCACTGATTGGCATTGATAGGTGGCATTGAAAGGCAGCTCAGATGGGCACTGATATGTGGCATTGATGTGCACTGGTATGCACTGATATGTGGCATTGATGTGGCACTGATGGGCACTGGCACGTGGCATTGATGAGCACTGACTGCTGGCACTGATGGACACTGACAGGTGGCACTGCTGGGGCCACACTGATCATCAGGGCACACTGATCATCAGTGGCCTGATGATCAGCGTACATGTCCCCTCCGTGGAAAGCCGATTACCGTCTCTTCTCTCCTCTCGAGCTGTCAGCGTGACAGCTCGAGAGGAGAGAAAAATGCCAATAACCGGCATTTCCGTGTTTACATGTGATCAGCTGTGATTGGACACAGCTGATCACATGACCGAGCCGACATCTTCAGCTCTTTCCGTGATCCGCTGTGTCCGAGGGACACAGTGCATCGGTGATCGCCGCGCTGCGTGCTCCCTGAGCCGCGCATGCACGGTGAGAATGGAAGGACGTCATATGACGTCCTATCAGAATGAGAGAACCACCTTGCGCCCGTCATTGTACTTTATGGCGGGCGGAAGGTGGTTAAAGCTAAAAAAACAAAAAAAACAAAAAAAAAAAACCAAGGACCATTTCTTACTATCTTACTATCTAAAGCTGTAAGGCCAGTGTGTCAGAAGCCTGGGCATCAGCTAGTCTACACCCATTGTGGCTTTTCCAGTTAGGTATGAGAAGGCTTCAGATTTCCCTCGGGCACAGACAGTTGAGTGATAGTGAGGGGACACTAATGAACTTGAAACAAGGAAATGAGAACTCACTTTTGAACGAGACGTACTGTATGGGGAGGTCAGGGAACACTAATAAATGTGATGCACAAAGTAATAATACTTAGCATGTCAGAGTTTTTTTTTAAAAAAGAAAATTTTTTCATTACGAATATGGCAAACACATTTTCTTCCATCTGGGAACCCATGAATCTCTTAACTTTACAGTTTCCTCTAGAAAGAAGTGCATTTTTTTTCAAATCAACTTATTCCCATTTATAGCAACATGCAAGTTATGCTTCAAGTTAGGCTTCTGGTATAACACATGGTGAAGTTATTTTTAAATGAAATACAATAGTTTTTATGATAGCTGCCTTAAAGAAGAACTTCCCTCTACCTCACCAACATTTTTTTCTAAACCCTAATAACTGTCTCTGTATGTAAGTAAAAATAAATTCTAGTCCATGGAGTCCAGTATTGTCTTCATTCCTGCCCAGAGTTTTTCTTCATCTTGGATGACAAGCTGGCAAATATATGGTGTGGGTCTTTGTCAGGTCTATGGGACTGAGCAGAGACACCTGCAGCATATCTTGCGCATGTGTGAGCTTCCCCATACATACCAGTCTATGGGTAATGGCAAAAACTGGCAGTCGCCGCGCATGCACAGTTGAGTTTGTGCATGTGCTACCTTGCCACAGGTCTGTAACACTGAAGTACTGCCTCCTTGGATATGATGTAGGCATCTCAGGAGGCAGCAGGTGCCTGGACATGTCATCCTTGCCTAGGGGAGAATTTGGAAGGGTGTATGTGCCAAAAGAAAACTTAGTATTTAACTAGTTGCAGAAAGAGGGTCATCATTGTACAAGATATGTTTAGCTTGTCCAGTCTCTCTTCCTGTTTGCCAGCATCCCCCCACCAAGTAAACAATTATGTTGGTTTTGAAAAATCAAAGTTGGCATGGTTGTGTACACAGAAAAGATTGTCGGCTTCATCTGTCAAAAAAAAGCAGTCTGACAATGTTTATAAATAACACTACACTCAGACACAACAGAACAATACAATGTAACATTTTGTTACTTTTGTATCATTCTATTCATTCATCTGCAGATCAAAGGAATGGCCTTAGATCTGCAGATGATATCAGATAAAGCAACCTCAAAAGTAAAAAAAAAGTGTTTTTTTCTGTTTAACCCCTTATTAACCCTTATTTTACTATAATCAGCCCTTATTAACTCCTTATTCTCCTTTTTTGGTTTTCTTTCTTTTGTTCATTAAAGCAGAATTCCACTCAAAAACAGAAGCTCCGCTTATTTACCTCCTCCCCACTCCACTGCCATATTTGGCACCTTTTGGGGGGGAGGGGGGAGCAGGTGCTTGGTTTGGACAGGTACCCGCTCCCACTTCCGGCTCAGTTCGCCGCGGTGAAGTGAGCTGGAAGTTCGGCTCCCTCCTCTCTCCCGCAGTCTTCTGGGAACTTTCACAGGTCCCAGGAGACTGTTGGAGCAATTAGGAGGCACAGCGCGACTCACACATGCACAGTGGGCACCAGGCTGTGAAGCCACAAGCTGCCACAGCCTGGTGCCCACAGTTGAGATGCCAGTGCTGTGGAGGAAAGAAGGGACGCCGCGGGTGAGAACATCACTGGACTCTGGAACAGGAAAGTGTGTGTTTATTAAAAGTCAGCAGCTACAGTTTTTGTAGCTGCTGACTTTTAATAAACAGAAAAATGGCTGGAACTCCACTTTAATATTTTTACACCTTTAGTGCCAGTTCACATATATGCGGATTCAGGGGTGGACTGACCATTTGGAAACTCGGGCACTGCCCAAGAGCCCAGGGTCAGTAGGGGACCCCATGAGATGCCCCTGGTACCTTTTTCATAGGCTTTTTTGAGTTTTGGGCAAGGACACAGGGGCCCCATGATCCCCTATTGCCCGGGGGCCCCATGAGTTGTCAGTCCGCCCCTGTGTGGATTGGATGTGGTTTGAACTGCATCCAGTCTGCATGACATGTGAAAAGACATTGCTTCCTATGGTACCTCTTCAGCTATATCTGGTGCACTGGCGGTGCAGATCCAGTGCAGTTTTAAACCACTTGCCTACAGGGCACTTATATCCCCTTTCTGCGTAGGCCAATTTTCAGCTTTCAGCACTGTCGCACTTTTAATGACAATTGCGCAGTCAAGCAACATTGTACCCATATGAAATTTTTATTTTTTGCGCTATAAACAAAAAAACAGCAAAACATTTGAAAAAAAAAGTTTTTCTTTGTTTCTATTATAAAATTTTGCATACAGGTAATTTTTGTGCTTCACTGATGTGCATTGATGAGGTAGCACTGATAGACAGCACTGATGGGCACTGATAGGCGGCACTGATGAGGTGGCATGGATAGGCAGCACCGATGGGCACCGATAGGTGGCACTGATGAGCTGGCACTGACGAGGCAGCACTGATTATGCTGCACTGATATGCAACAATGATGGGCACTGATAGGTGGCACTGATGGGTGGCACTGACTGACGACACTGCTGGACACTGATGGGTGGCACTGATGGGCACAGGTGGGTGGCACTACTAGGTACTGATGGGTACAGGTAGGTAGCACTGCTGGGCAAAGGTGGGTGGCACTGCTTGGCACTTGGGGGCATCACTGCTGGGCACAGGTAGGCAGCACTGGTGGGTGGCACTTCTGGGCACTGATGATCAGTGCCAATCTGTCCTCTGACATTTGCTGGTTATCGGCAGTACTTTCCTCACGATGTGACAATGTGAGGCAAGTGCAGCCGATAACCGGCAACCGCATTAACCGGTGATCTGCTTTGTCATTGGACACAAGTGCTTGAAAAGAGACATGTCCAATTTCTGAGCAGTGTGGTCCAGTTTAGGTGTGGATTACAGGCTATTGACTTCTATGGGAACCTTTTCTAAACCACATATGTGTGAACAAGATAAAATCCTGAGCTAATCCTGTACTGAACCTGACATAAACCTTGGAACAAGTACTGTATCAATTAGCTGTGAAACCTGAGCTTCAATCCGCACCGCACATTTGTGAATCAGCTCTTAATATATAGTTTTACATTTCACATTTTACAAAGCGCAACACTGAAATAAAAACCCACTTTAATTTTGTAATGCTTTGTACCAGAATCATAATGTTAGTGTTGTGTTAAACAGGATAAATTACAGAACAAAATGTGCAATTTTTATCTGCTGTAACACTATTTATTTTTAAATTAACACTTGTTAGAAAAAAAGGGGTTTTGTTTAGTTTTGTTAAAGGATAAGTTTACCTTTCATAACATGTTAAACCCATATTCAGGGTGTAACATGTTATGAAAACACCAGCCCCTGTTCCCCTGCTTTGACAGCTAGTGGGGTATCTCCTCTCCCACCCCTCTAGCTGTCAAGTTTTAAAAAAAAGTGGCCATGCAGGACTCTGCCCTTCCAGCCACCTCACTACTCTGTGAATGAGAAACTACAAGTCCTGAGAGCCTTAGCACCTGTCGGCTTGTAGTTCTCAATGAACTACCACAGTGCTGTGGAACGCTGTGGTAGTTCATTGAATCTTCCTGTCAGTATATCTGCTTATGGGCAAACAAATACTGACAGATGTGCAGGAGGCCTTCATGGCACCAGCAATCTACTGATCACTGATGCAATGCTTTACAGCCTCCTGCATAAAAAAAAATGTAAATGCACATTTTTTTTACCTGCAATAAAATGTACATTTATTTTTTTTTACAAAAGGTGAACTTATCCTTTAAGTTCAGGGGCGGACTGACAACTCATGGGGCCCCCCGGGCAATAGGGGATCATAGGGCCCTTGTGTCCTTGCCCAAACTCAAAAAAGGCTATGAAAAAAGTACCAGGGGCATCTCATGGGGCCCCCTACTGACCCCGGGCCCTCGGGCACTGCCCGAGTTTCCAAATGGTCAGTCCACCCCTGTTTAAGTTTCATTGTCTAAGGATTGCAAAAAAGAAATCATTGTTAATAACATCACAAAAAGCTTTTTTTCTTCTTAAATAATCACAAAGTAATTGCTGAACAAACAGGTCCATAGCAGAATTGTAACACTCCATTCACACTAGAGCACTCCTAATTGCAGGCAGAATTGCTGTGATTCTACCCATGATTTGAAAATTAGCTGTGATAATGTGAAAATACACGATCGTGTATTCAGCAGTCATTCATTTTAATAGCACCTGAAAATGCGGGGCGTTTGTGCCCTGATCGCAGCATGGCTTTCCATGCAACAAATACGCCTGGATCGTGCAAACAAAATCACAGGACGTGCAATGCACAAAAATGTTTCTGGAACCTTTTTAGGGTGTCACGCATCCTGCGATTTTGTTTGTGCAATCGTGGCATGTTTGTTGCAAACACAGCAAAATTGGTTCACGGTTTCAGGTGTCATTGACATAAAAGGCATCCAGACACGATCGCATGTTTTCACATTGTCACAGTGCGTTTTCAAATCGCGAGCAGAATCACGCTGATTCCACCCATGATTTGAATTGCCCTAGTGTGAATGGAGCCTAAAACTTGTTCTGATCCAAAGAGGGTTGATTGGTGTGGGAGGCAAAGTGGTTAAAGTTAAAAAATGTTTTTCTTCTGAATGTTTAAGAGAAAGGGGGGCAAAACAGAGAATGTGACATTTGTGGTGAAGATCAGATTTAAAGGATAATTTAATTTATTATTTTTGTCTACAGGAGCCTGGAAAGCATTGCACCAGCAATCAGGAGTTCATTGATGCCATGCAGGTTTTCTGCAGACCTGTCAGAATATCTTCTTGCCGTATGGGATGTATGAGCAAGCAGATATTCTGACAGGAAGCTTCAATAAACTACCACGGTGCTCCACATCATCGTGGTAGTTCACGGAGCTCCACCCAAAAGGGGGAGTTCCGCTTTAAGGACTGCTCCCCCCAGGGGCGGGCTGACCATTGGAGCACTCGGGCGCTGCCCGAGGGCCCAGGGGTCAGTAGAGAGCCCCATAAAATGCCCCTGGTACCTTTTATAGGCTTTTTTGGGTGTGTTTTGAGTGTGGGCAAGGACACAGGGGCCCCATGATCCACAATTGCCCGGAGGCCCCATGAGTTGTCAGTCCGCCCCTGGCTCCCACACTCTCCATTAGGATTGACACCTTTGGCCTAGGCGATTGGAAGCAGAAGGTGTCCTCCCTCCTTCCCTCCCTGTAGTCTTTTGGAACACATGACAGGTCCCAGAAGACTACAAGACCATTCATGAAGCGCAGCGCTACTCGCGCATGCGCAGTGGGCACCCAGCTGTGAAGCCGCAAGCTGTCACAGCCGGGTGCCAACACTGAAGATGCCGGCCTCCTGGAATACAGGACGGCCGGTGAAACGAGCTGCGGGGGACACACCACGGGACCGAGGGACAGGTAAGTGGCTATTTTTTAAAAGTCAGCAGCTACAGTTTTTGTAGCTGCTGACTTTTATTTTTTTTGACAGGGTGAATGGAACTCCACTTTAAGAACTACAAGGCAACAGCAGTGAATGAATGATGTGGCCGTGTGGGCGGAGCTGTTTTTAAATTTGAAATGCCCTAGTGTGAATGCAGCCTAAAACTTGTTCTGATCGAAAGGGAGTTAACTGGTGTTGGAGGCAAAGTTGTTAAAGTAAAAAATGTTTTTCTTCCAAGTGTTTGAGAGAAAGGGGGAAGGCAAAATAGATGAAATGACATTTGTGGTAAAGATCAGCTTTAAAGTGTTACTAAACCCAGGACCCTGCATTCACTATATCTGGTCTCCCACAGTACACACAACATGGAAATACAATTATTTTAGTAAATATAAACTGCTGAATACCTTTTCTCAGCAGAAGTTAGATCAGTTTTTTGGCTTCTATCAGTGTCCAGCCCAGCACTAGCTAAAGCTTATAGGAGTTTTCTTTCTGCTCTAGGAGGATGGAAATCCCCTGACCTCTGTCTGGACAGTGCTGATTGGCCCTGTGCTAATCACTTGCACTCTCCCAAGAAAAAAAAAAAAACCTTTCTAGCAATACAAACCTAACTGAGCATGTGCAGAAGGGTTACAGGTTCAGTCTGTATCAGGTGGTCATTTCAACAAGAGGAGGAGCAGAGAAGAAAGGATCAAACAGCCTTTTTGCACAATGCAGAGGAGTAACCCTTTAGGTTCCACAGTGAGTATAACAAGCATGCTTTATTGCATATACAGACTGATTTTACTGTTGTGGGTTTAGTAACACTTTAAGAATCCCAAAGAACATGAAAGTGTTACTAAACAGAAATGGTGGTTGTATTTATTTTCCTTTTTCTTGCTTTTTTTTTTTTTTTATTTCCTTGGTGATCTTGGCAATACCACCCTTCTTTTTCTAAGTAGACACCATACCCAACACCATATCCCACCCACACCTGTCTCCAATCCTGGACTACATGGATTATGTCAGTGAGGTAAGGAACTGAGAACAGAAATAGTGTGAGCCTGCACCAATATGGAAGTCACCTCAAGGCATGTTCACACTAGTAACTGTGTGAAAACGCACTCACTGGTGTGATAGCAGTAGCGATGATGAAGTGGTTCTTCGCCCTGTTGAAAAAAAAATTAAAACTTAGCAGCTACAATTACTGTAGTTTTATAACTTGTAATAAAAGGAAACCTAGCTGTTCAGGGGTCCATTTCCATCCTCACCCAAACCAATTCTTCGCTGGTCTTCGGGTCCCCATCTCCGGCATGTTTACTGTGGGCAGATGGCTAAGATTCCTTGCGGCTTCACGGCCAGCTGCCCACGCTATGCTTTTTGAATGGTAACACAGCCATCTGAGACATGTGACATGTCCCAGAGGGGGGGAGAGGAGGGCATAAAGCAGAACTTCCCATTTAGAGTCAAGTTCCTCTTTAATAACTGTAAACAGTACATCGCACCTCTTTTTTTTTTTGCGCCAACGTTATTGCATGTAAAAGTGACATTTCATTACTGCTCTGCATGTTCATTCATTCACAGAGCATGACTTGACCCCGATCTCTGCCCTGATTGACATTTTACAACCACTGTAAGGTTGAGCTTCACCCAAAAAGTGAAGTTCCGCTTTAACGCCTCCTTCCCTCCTCCTCGATACTTAATGGCACTTTTTTTTGGAGGGGTTAACACTGGTTTTGACCGATACCTAATACCACTTCTGCTCCGACCGCCTAGGCCAGTGACTGCAGTGACCGAGTGCCGAAACTGCAACCCAAAATCCACTTATTTATCGCAAAGTGCCAAGACTGCAATTAAACCTGAATACTGAGGCTTTAGTTTAGAAAAAAACAACCCATACATTAACATCTTTTGTCTTAAAAGAAAAAACGCAATAACAGAGCTTCCACTGACCACCAGCACAAGGGGGTAAAGTTCCATTGACCACCAGCACAAGGGGCACAGTTCCACTGACCACCATCACAAGAAGGAAAAGTTCTACTGACCACCAGCACAAGGAGGAAAAGTTCCACTGACCACCAGCACAAAGGGGTAAAGTTCCACTGACCACCAGCACAAAGGGGCAAAGTTCCACTGACCACCAGCACAAGGGGGCAAAGTTCCACTGACCACCAGCACAAGGGGGCAAAGTTCCACTGACCACCAGTACAAGGGGGCAACGTTCCAGTGACCACCAGCACAAGGGGGCAACGTTCCAGTGACCGCCAGCAAAAGGGGGCAACGTTCCACCGACCACCAGCACAAGCTAAAATCTTGTGTTGATAAACATTAATGTATTAAAACTCACAGCCAGTTCAATAGTCCAAAATATATAGTGAGGAACAGAAGTATTTGAACACACTGCGATTTTGCAAGTTCTCCCACTTAGAAATCATGGAGGGGTCTGAAATTCACATTGTAGGTGCATTCCCACTCTGAGAGACAGAATTTAAAAAAAATTCAGGAAATCACATTGTATGATTTTCAAAGAATTTATTTGTCTTGCACTGCTGAACATAAGTATTTGAACACCTAAGAAACAGCAAGAATTCTGGCTCTCAAAGACCTGTTACTGTGCCTTTAAAAAGTCCACCTCTACTCCACTCATTAATCTAACTTAGTAGCACCTGTCTGAGCTCTTTAAAGACACCTGTCCACCCCACAGTCAGTCAGATGCCAACTACTACCATGGGCAAGACCAAAGAGCTGTCAAAAGACACCAGAGACAAAATTGTGGACCTCCACAGGGCTGGAAAGGGCTACGGGGCAATTGCCAAGCAGCTTGGTGAAAATAGATCAACTGTTGGAGCAATTGTTAGAAAATGGAAGAGGCTAAAGACAACTGTCAGTCTCCCTCGGACTGGGGCTCCATGCAAGATCTCACCTCGTGGGGTATCACTGATGATAAGAAAGGTGAGGAATCAGCCCAGAACTACAAGGGAGGAGCTGGTCAATGACATGAAGAGAGCTGGGACCACAGTTTCAAAGGTCACTGTCGGTAAAACACTACGCCGTCATGGTTTAAATCATGCATTGCACGGAAGGTTCCCCTGCTCAAGTCATCACATGTCCAGGCCCGTCTGAAGTTTGCCAATGACCATCTGGATGATCCAGAGGAGGCATGGGAGAAAGTCATGTAGTCAGATGAGACCAAAGTAGAACTTTTTGGTCTAAACTTCACTTGTCGTGTTTGGAGGAAAAAGAAGGATGAGTTGCATCCCAGGACACCATCCCTACTGTGAAGCATGGGGGTGGTAACATCATGCTTTGGTGGTGCTTTTCTGCGAAGGGGACAGGACGACTGCACTGTATTAAGGAGGGAGAATGGGGCCATTTATTGTGAGATTTTGAGCAACAACCTCCTTCCCTCAGTCAGAGCATTGAAGATGGGTCGTGGCTGGGTCTTCCAACATGACAACGACCCGAAGCACACAGCCAGGATAACGAAGGAGTGGCTTCGTAAGAAGCATATCAAGGTTCTGGAGTGGCCTAGCCAGTCTCCAGACCTAAATCCAATAGAACATCTTTGGAGGGAGCTGAAACTCCGTGTTGCTCAGTGATAGCCCCAAAACCTGACAGATCTAGAGGAGATTTGTGTGGAGAAGTGGGCCAAAATCCCTGTTGCAGTGTGTGCAAACCTGGTCAAGAACTACAGGAAACGTTTGACCTCTGTAATTGCAAACAAAGGCTTCTGTACCAAATATTAACACTGATTTTCTCAGGTGTTCAAATACTTATGTTTAGCAGTGCAAGACAAATAAATTCTTTAAAAATCATACAATCTGATTTCCTGAATTTTTTTTTTAATTCTGTCTCTCAGAGTGGGAATGCACCTACAATGTGAATTTCAGACCCCTCAATGATTTCTAAGTGGGAGAGCTAGCAAAATCGCAGGGTGTTCAAATACTTCTGTTCCTCACTGTATATATCCTTGTCAGCGCACTGACCAGCCATGTGAAAGCTTAGACGAATGGCAACTAATGAGTCGCGGCTCGTGACGTCATCGTCTGGTGCCACTACTCCTTTCCGAGCATGCACATGGCCCCTAAGTGCACTGTTATCCAATGCTTGGGTGCTTGGGCGACTTGGATCGTGTGCCATCAGGGAGGGTTCTGCGTTCCCGCTGCGGCACGTGTGCCATAGATTAAATATTTTTCATATATTTTATAATAAAAATGCATTTCAACATGCAGTGTATATATACAGTGTGTGTATATATATATATATATATATATATACATATTTATTGAAATATATTGAATATGGCAAAAATTGTAGCATTTCAAATATATGGCAATATATTTGGAAAGTAGTTTTTTAAAATATATTTCAAATATATTTTTTCTTCCATATGAGATGTAAAGAACGGCTCGGGTAAGCACATCGCTGGATCCTGGGACAGGTGAGTGTCTATTTATTAAAACACCAATTTGACTGGAGCACCTCTTCTACTGGCAGCAGGCAATGTGATGCAGAGGACTGAGTTGTACTACGCTGCGATGAAAAAAATTGCAGCATGCAGTGGTCTGAACTGGCCTAACTGGAAATAAAGCCTTTAGCCTCGCCTTGTGTTGGGACTGTGCTGGGCAAGGCAGCTCCAACACTTTTGATCAATGTGACACTAAAAGCAGCATAATACTGTGGAATGGATGACAAAGTGGGTCAAGGCAAAAGAGCCATTGCAGAATTCCTACTGTAAGTACTTTATCATTCACAACTGACTTGTTTGAAGGATAAGGTTGTCCGAGTCTAGGTCTGCTCCGAGCAGAACATTAATGCTCAGCAGACACAATACATCTTCCATTGAACATTCAGTGACCATGAAACTGCAGACAGACACATGTAAGTAGAAGATTTTTAGATGCACAAGAGGCGCTTTTCATTTAGGATAAATGATAAACTTGCTCACCACTTTGGTCTGCTATTGATTTGACAAGGCCTAGAGGGAACTCAGATCGGTCA